CCATATGTGCAGACAAGGTTTGGAGGGTTACTCTAAAAATGTCTTCCATTACAATTAGTAATGCACTACAAAGACCTACACTTGAGACAAATCTACTGAAAACAACTAAGGGTTGTGAGGTTTACTGTTGAGATATATTAAATTGCCACTACTAGTTAATCTAAGTATCACAATATATATATCATCTCAGGGTTAAGAGGTTCTAAGGCTAGGGATGCATATGATTTCGACACCAACTTTATTAAGACAAATATCGACGGTCTAATAAAACCAATTACTATGCTAGTGAATCAATCTATCAGCACGAGGGAAGTTCCATCATCCTAGAAGGTGGCCACGGTGACACCGATCTTTAAATCTGGGGATAAGGCAATGATGTCCAATTATAGACCAATCAGCATCCTCCCCTGTGTCTCTAAAGGCCCGGACACACCAAGCCGATTTTGGCCGTCGGTGGGCGTCAGGCCGACGATGAGCGTCGACACGCCCTACTCAGATTGGTGTGTCCCGCACCGTCGTGTCTTTTCAGCCGTGCCGACGCCTTTTCGGCCAAAGGCAGTCGGCCAAATAAATCACTCTGATTGGCTGTTCAGCTTAGCGAATCAGTGCATGAGAAGCGAAACGGAAGTGAGGGACCTAAACAAACGATTAAGAAGGCAAATCTGAGATTTCCTTTAACTCCAGCTCTCGACACAGGTTGGGGAAAGCCCCATGAGCTTCTCGCTGTAGAGTGAACATGGAACACACACGCTATTTGTTGTTTGTTTATATCACGCAGTCTGTTCTTCTTCTCTCGGTGTATCACGCAGTCTGTCTTCCGATTGTTGCCTCCTTTGAATGACGAATACACACTACCGCCGCCTGCTGGTAAGGAGAGTTATTGCCACTCACGCATGCACAGTTCGTACGTGCTTCTTGGCCGTCGGCTGAAGTCTTTGCGGTGTGTTCCAGTGCAACACGTGGCCAAGACGCAGGAGACATGAGGCAACACAACAGTCGGGGTCCGTCTGTGTCAGTTCTTTGGTGTCAGCTTGGTGTGTCCGGGCCTTAAGGTAGCTGAGAAATGGGTGTCAAAACTAATCACCAAACATTTAGATAAAGGTTTCGCTCCACTCCACCCAATGCAGTTTGGTTTTTGTGCTCACCACTCCACTGAGACAGCTAACTGTGTCTTTGTGGAAAAGGTTAAATCTATGTTGGACACGAGCCCATATGTAGGTGCTGTCTTCCTTGATCTCAGGAAGGCTTTTGACACAGTTGACCACCAAGTGCTCCTTACAAAGCTGACTCAGTTAAATTTTTCGGCAGTTTCGATACATTGGTTTAAGTCTTACTTATCGAACAGAAAACAGTGTGTTTTGGTCAACGGTACCAAATCCCCCTTCCTTGTGAACCCTGTTGGGGTTCCACAAGGTTCCATTCTTGGACCATTACTGTTTTTTCTGTACATTAATGACTTGCCTAATGTATGTCCTGAGTTGAATGTGTAAATGTATGCCGATGATGCGGTCATCCTTGTACATGGGAAAAAGACTGAAATTATCTCACCCTGTCTCTCAAATGCTTTGGACAAGGTTCAACACTGGCTGAACAACATTTGCTTACAGTTAAATGTAAAAAACAGTATGCTCTCCACATACGAACATTTAGAGAACATGTTGATAATATAACATGTGAGCTCTTCTGTGGATATGTTGCTACAATGTTTGTAGTCGCAAAATACAAAATAAAGCGTATTGCTAACAATGGCTAACCCGAGGTGGCTGCTAAAGCTGTAAACAACAACAACTTTCCTGGGGGCAGCCATCTTATCTGACTAGTGCTACTGGACCTTGGTCAACTCTGATGGGATGGCCAGAGGAGGAGCGAGATGAACTGATGAAGCTGCTGGGTTAGCAGTGCAGACCTGACATGGGACAGCTTCAGTGTTTGCTTTGGAAACAGAACCCTTTATTCACTGTTCAACCACCACAATACAAGATCCCCTCACTATATACCTTCCCTCACCCAGCCTTCATCACAGTGTGCCAGCAGCTGACTCAGGGTCAGTGTTCTCCATCATAACACTCAACTCCTGAGCTCTGCGAAGTGTCACCACTTCAATATGTTTATCATTCATATGTTTAAAGTCAACATACAGTATGTATATGATATTACAATAAGCAGCATGTTATTCCACTGTATGCTATTTCATTTTTTATTTTATTTGCTCATTCTATTTTACATGTACATATCGATTATTCCTTCATTTTAAGTCTATTTATTTAGTTAATATCTTAAGTAAATGGTATGTTGCTCTGTTGGAGGAGCATGGGAGGCTGCAGTTCTTGTGTTTATGACAATAAAACCTTTGAATCGTGAATCTTCCCCTTTGGCTGTAAATGAAATTGTTCAGATTCACCAGCTGATTCATGAAATGTGGCGTAACACAGGGTTAGTTCCTGTTAGAAATGTCTGCCAGCTACATTTGCTCTTGTATCTTAAAGGGGACCTATCATGCAAAATGCACTTTGTGATGTCTTTTATACATAAATATGTGTCCCCGGTGCGTCAGGGAGCTCACGCAGCGTCAGAAAATAAAACCCTTTCTCTTTTCCTCCGAACCCAAATCTTTTTAAAACGGGGGTACAACGAGCGGATACAGATTCCATACGATCTGACATCAAATCGGCAGCGGACCCACAGAAAATTGCTATCAGAAACAATGCCTGACGTGTTTTGGACGTAATCTTTACATTAGCAAGCCTTGCTAACACTCAGAGCTAACCTGTACTGGAGAGCACATGTGTTTAAAAAGCAGGAAATAAGAAAAGGAACTCACCTTGTGATAAACCTGCAAGAGAAAAAGCATTTGAGCTCCAGACTGTTTCAGAAATAATCCTTGATGTGGTTTAGAACAGGATGGCGTTTTATCACAGCAGAATTTAACTTTATCTCCGGTAGAATTCTGATCAGGCATTAGCTCCGCCTCCTTTTTTTTTTTTTTTCAAGCTAAGGACCCAAGATCCGCGTTTCTCTAACAGGGCTGCAAAAGAGGGGTATGAGCCGTATGAGGCATGGCTACAACGGGGGATCTGTTTGGTATTTTAAGCAAAACACTTCACAGACATGTTTTGTATAGGTATGGCCCTACAATATATGTTTCCAATATATTGGTCCACTTTAAGCTGTTCAGAATGAGTATTCCAGTAAGAATGATAAAGACCTAAGAGGGATGTGTTTTCTTTAATTGAAGGTCTCCGGGGTTAACACTGAGCAGTAATGGCTACTCATTTTCACACTACCCTATTAATGCATCCTCTTTGCCCAAAATTGGATTTTGAGTAATTTTCACTTTAAGGAAGGGTCACCACACTCATCACACACTACTTGTGTGTTCAAGGCAGCATTGAAGTGTACATGCCCAAATAGAATACAAATGTGCACTCAAAAGTAACACTTGCTTTTAAAAATATGCCTCTTAAAAGTGGGAATCAGTTGTTTGATGTTAAACTATTTCCAAGACACTGAATGCATTTTTGAAAAAAACAAGCATGCTGTCTTACTAATGGATGAACAGCTGCATGTTGCCTTCAGATATGAATATTGCCATGTAGATGTGTCCAATATAAACATACAAGTAGTAGAGTACATGATGAAACTATAACCCAATGACCTTTTCAAGCAGCTACTAAACATGCTATTTTTCTTGGCTGAAGTTGAACAGTTTTGATAAAGGCAAAAACGCAAGTGCAATGAAACAAATCTTTACATTGATGAAGCATGTGTTCACTGAAGAGAATAAAATGTTGTCTGATATTGACATCACGTCTTACTTTGGAGACTATAACCTTCCTCAAACTGGTACAGGATGTAAATATGACAGTGGTGCACAGGTTTTATTGTTTTTAACGGTTCAGTGATAAGATGGATATTATATCGGTGGGGGGGGGGGTGTGTGGGGGGTGTGTCTACAGAAGGTCCAGTTGTGACAGGCACGGTTCGTCACTGAAATATGATGTCATCTTTCCATCATGGTTATTACAGTTACCCAGCAGCCCTTTAATAACTTCATCTATTTCTTCCTTCTGGAGAATTAAGAGCTACCAACTGTTAATCTCTGAGGAATATTAACAAACAGAAGTGAATGGATTATTCATTGTCTTTAGCAGATCTGCTGTGAGTCCTGGGTAATTCTGCACTACATGTTGGCAAGGGAGAACAGCTGAATGTAAAGAAATAAACATCTGTCATCTCAATTTTCAGATGTTTTCCTCATGCTCTGGTACAGTGTAGGTTTTAGCGTGTCGAGTTACATTACCCTGAGAATTCAGACATGTTTACCTCATCCTTTCTTCTCTGAGTGAAGGTCTCAACTTGGCCTACATTCAGCGTGGCACACACAGATGATAATAAGAATGACTTGCTTTGTGTAATTTCTGAACTGGTGCATTAAAAAAAAAAAAAGTTTAACGTTATTGTTTAATGATGTTAAATAAAGAATATTAGCTCAATGTAGGCCCCAAGTCTCTTCCTCACCATTAGCTTTACATGAGACCTTCAGTCTGAGTGAGTCCTTGCAAACTTTTCTGTTCAAAAGTTCTGTTCAGTCTTTCTCCTCATTTCTGTTCCTAATTGTTTTACCCATACTCATAAGCATAGACATTACCCATGTCGACACACTCTTACACACAGCCACCTGCAGGCTTCATCAAAGCACCTCAGCTAGGCAGAAACTGTAAATCTTGGGGAAATAATTGGCCTGACACACAGAAACACAACAAGATGGAGGGAAATGTGAGCTGCCGTCAATCAATCAGAGAAAAGGCGTCATTTGTGTGGGAAGGGTGTAGAAGCGTGTCAGAATAATAACTGATGCCAATGGCAAGGTGGCCCCATGTGTTTCTAAATATGTAATAAGCACCGCCATCAGGATCAAGCACACAATTTAGTTCCAGGGAAATCAGTATTCTGATGGAACCAGCAGGCTTCACAGTGCTGCGGAGTGTTCTGAGACTCACCTGGAACAAAGCTCCCCTGCACCACCTCCTTGTACGCCCACCATCCGTCGTGAATTTTCGGCGCATTGGGTTGTGCTGTGAGGAGAGAAAACAGAGCAGGGACATCAGTCACTATTCTGAAACTCAGACGAGAAAGCACAAATGCACTGCACACCTGCTGGTACGACTGCACACACACACACACACACACACACACACACACACACACACACACACACACACACACACACACACACACACACACACACACACACACACACACACACACACACACACACACACACACACACACACACACACACACTCTGGTGCTTTAGGTGTCTTAGTTGACTACCTAAATAACCATTTAAATAAAACACTACCCCAACCTTCCCCCCCCCCCCTACAGACCCCTTTATACATCCTGAATTCCTATTATGTGACTATCGAAAAATATATAAATCACCATAAAATCTCACTGACTGAAATAAACTGTTAAAGTAAGATCTTTTTGATGTTGTTAAAGGACCACTAACTAAAGCAGAGGGTAGGTTTGATTTACAATGATACATTTGCATGTAATAGTCACCTCAATATCATCCTACACAATCTACACAAATATGTGTCAAATATTGACATTTGTATATGTTTTTTGTTTTATGTCAAATTGACCCCAAGGAACACCGATGCGTACAAAGTGCGTACAGGACATTTCAAAAAGATCTTCATGTTCATTTTATGTTTACCCATTAGTCCGCACTAAATTAGGAAAAGTCATGAAATACTAAGCAAAACAAATAATGTGAACCATTTTTTAGATACGCGAAACATTGAATGGGGTCAAATTGAACCCAAGGATAACAGGATGGTTAAGAAGTAACAATGCAGTGAGATATATATAGGGTCTTGTTTTTAGACAATACATTTTAAGCACACTGAAAAACTGAAAGGTTTAATTTAAATGTATGATGTCAGCAGATTTCACATAATTGTTTAAATACTGCATGAAAATGTGGTTCAACTCAATATGAGTGCTTTCAACTAACTACTACTACCTTGTACCCCCCCCCCCCCCCCGATGCGATGACTCCCCATAGACATGAGTGTGGAATTGCATTCCATCAAGGTGTGTGCAGTGGGAGGAAGGCCCAGATTAGAGCGGCGGTACAGTATAATTGAGGTGACTAAGTGAAGGTCTCAGCACGGAGAGAGAGATGACGGAGAATTACCCAGCGAGCCTCTGGGTTATTGCTTTTCACACCTTAACTTTTCTCTTTCCTGTTCATTCACAGATTGCGCTGATGGAGGTCCATAGGCTGCCCTGCTGCTTGTCTTTGATATAACTTGAGGTGGCTGAACAACCCCCTTCCTCTCATATCCGCCCCACACACCCTGCTGCAGCAACACTGAGAGTAGGTTCAATTTCAGAGGGGTGGGCCGCTGGATATGCTCCAGAAAAGGTTCTTTTCTCAGAGGAAATCTGCGCTGCAACCTGTTTATAAAAGCGGAAACAGCAGTCGGCCTCCAGAGTATAGATTGGAGTTGCTTTTCTAACACATTTGACCACTTTAGATGATAGATTACTTGTTAAAATTGCTATTGCTAACACTTTAGACCCTGTACTTTCCCCATTATAGCTTGTTGCAGTGATTATCAGAGAGACTGCCGGAGGTGGTGGAGAGTAACTGAGTACATTTACTCAAGTACTGTAATTAAGTTCACATTTGAGGTACTATTTTATATCACTTTATACTTATACTATACTAAATGTTGGAAGCCAAGTTTGTACTTTTAACTCCACTACATTTGTTTTACAGTTACTTTATAAATTCAGATTTTGACACACAAAAACGTTTTAATTATGATTATTTGGTATAGATTACACAATCCAAAATGATATTCAAGTGACTGAAACAATGAGTTGTTTAAGTAAATATCAATTGGCAGCAATTTTGCTTTTGATGAATGATATTTTACAGTTCCAGCTTTTTAAATGTGAAGATTTGCTGCTTTTGCCTAAAAATATTTCTAAATATTTAAATATTTTTTGAGTTTTTTCGAGTACTTTTACTCCTAAGTCTTTTCATTACATTTTAATAATCGTACTTACACACCGTTACTTAATCTCAATGCAGTACTTTTACTTGAAATGTAGTATTTTTACAATGTGTTATTTGTACTTTTAATAAAGTAAACCACTGCCTCTGCGGTAGGATTATTAGTAAGATTTCCTCTCAAAACTAAAAACATGTCCTCAGAAGTTCTTCAGCCATAAAGAACTCCCATCTCAGCCTGTATAACACTCAGAGGAGTTTGAGATCAATCCAACATGGAGCCCTTCAGTGTGGAGGGCGGTGTTAAGGCTCAGTCACACAGAAGAAGACTTGGAGCAGAGTCAACAGATTTATGAGATCAGTGACCAACCAGTGAATGTATGAGAGGTGAAGACTGGGACTCTGCTGAGCTCTGACACACACGTGTGGAGGTCTCTGTGAAGAGTAACACAAGCAGTCTGCTGTACCCTGTTTCTGTGGATAGTTATTCCTGAATCACTTCATTAAATGTCTGTATTTGTTCAGATATCTGATGAGTTTTTATAACTTCATGCACTTGCACTTTCAAGCAAAAAAAGAGATAGATGTCCCTGTGCTTGTTGTGTGGATCAGTTCCATCACATGTGGCTCTATGTGGGAGACCTGCTGGTTTGACTTGTTAGCACAATCCAGAGTGCAGAGATGCTGGTTGGAGTCATATTCAGAGGAATTATTATCAGCTCCATCTTAGTATCTATTGTTATTACTGGATTCCAATTGTAATCCCTTACACTACTTCCTAGTGAAAAAGTCATTGCTTTACTGTTTGCCATTCAGATCTGCTACAATGGCTACTCTGCTTCAAAATGAACAGAAATGCCAGCAGAGCCTTCCTCCTCATGAGTACTGCGTCACTGTGAGGAAGCACAAGCCTCACTGACATTTGGCTGAGCTAAAGTAGGCATTATTTCTCAGAATATTCTTTATTCATTCAAGGCTTCCAATGGCAACTTACTAAACACATATTTGCATTTAAATTCATTGTACTTCTTAAAATGTATTAAAAACAACACAATTGGACTTCTGGTTATGGCGGCCACTTGAGAAGACGTGACTCACACAGCTCTGCTTAAACAATTTCTCCAAAGATACTCCAATTTGCAACATAGAACGGTAGAGTGTGGATTTTGGGATTTCGAAGTAAAGTCTAAGCAACCGACACTGACAGATACCACATGGACCAGACGGCATGACACACGGAGAGGACATGGAGAAGAGAAGGACAGCGGGGGAAGTGGACTTGAAGGACAGAATAAGGGGGCAGTACTGGACGCTTTGGGTACTTGAAAACAGTTTTCTTCAAGATTTGATGCAAAGTCTGATTTAAAAACTGCTGAGCAGAAAATAAAGACAAAAGAAAGAATCTGAGTTGTCCAAGCGTCCTCTGTTGCCCTCCAGCCTCTCAAGTTCGGGCAAAACACTGAATATAGGCCAAAACCCGGAAGTACTTGACAGTGACTGTGCTGAGCGAGTCTGAAAGGACGACGTAGCTAGCTTACAAGCTAAGGTACACGCGCGAGACAAATGAGGGATGTGTGTGCAGATCCTGAACATGTTATAAGACCTGAGGGAGATCTGAGCTCAAGAGAGGAGTTTATAAATCTATCACTTGAATGCAAATATAATTATTCAATCCAAATGTATGTTTTTTAATTTAATTAATTAAAAACTAATTGAATCAAACATAAAAAATGCTGTTATAAAATGATATCATTTTGCTGTCACACTCCAGATGAGTGGCTGCTGATAGATGAGACATAATCACTTCCTGTGGCTCATCAAAAGAGAGCGGGACTTAAAACAGTCACATCGCCTGGCTGCGCCCCAAAACACACTTCCTGACATCAGCAGAAAGGAAGTGCCTCCGGTCTATAAAGGGAAATGCAGACGAGACGCTACAGGAGGTGGGAGGGGGGGCGGGGGGGGGGGGGGGGGGTTGATGGATCGCCATTTTCCATTTTATTGGTTCCCAGAGCAGTTAAGATAGACGGTATATGACAGTACAATAAAGTATAACATAATAAACGATCTACTTACTAAACTGGAAAGAGTGTGTGCGCTAGATAATGAGAGGAGGCTGCATGATGTGAGGAGACTAAAGGACTTGTTCATTTTACGTTTCCCCTTGGAAATGGAAGCTAATTAAAAACTGACTGGAAGGTGTAATGTGGAAACACAGAGGCGGGTCACAGAGGGTCACATGGGGGGGGCAGTACAGAGGGCAAGAGGTGGGCGGGTCAATGCTGGAGAGCATCAAAGAGTCTTCAGCTGACAGCAACAACCAGAAGGCCAAGTCACTTTCGGTCGGTAAGGGGTAAGGGGCCATTCTTAAGAATATCATATATGGAGTTTTCTATGCAATAAACTATTGGACATTATTTAGTGATAACCCCATGAGATTCCTCATGTTGCTTTCAAAGGGGTCCTTACCAACACTTTTCCATAAAACACTAAACATTTTTCTCTAAAATAATAATAATAATATGTTTGACAAAAAAAATTAAAAGACATACATAATCAGGAGATGATACTACAAGCAAAGCATAACAGTTGATCATTCTTTTGAATTATCAATTGAATGTCAGTGATAGCATTAAATCATCAAGTTATTAAACATAATGGTAAGGTATTATAACCAGAGATGGGGTCGTTACTAAAAAAAAGTAATATATTACATATTACATATTACTTAAAAAAAAAGTAATATATTACACTACTTCGTTACTCTCTACATAAAGTAACTCGTTACTTTACTCGTTACTTTACTCGTTACTTTACTCGCAGGGCCGGCCCGCCCCTCCCTGCAGGCAGATCACGCAGACTGCTAAAGTTTCAAATGTTCTCTTTAGTTCAGTTTCCATTGTCGCATAAGACTGATCCAGATAGCTCTGACTATGGCTGTCCTCTGTCTCCTGCTATCTGTATTTTGCGCAGTATATCTCTGAACGATGCGATGGTGATTCCACTGTGCAAATGGGCAACATTTCCTCTACTATGAAGGAT